TGCACTCCAGTCTGGGTGACAGAGTGAGACTCCAACTCAAAAAAAAAAAAATTTTTTTTGAAGACAATGAAACAAGACTAATCAAAAATAAATATTAGAAATTAAATGCCACATATATGTAAAATATAAGAATGTTATGACAGTTTTTGCCAGTAACTTTAAAAATTTTGGTGTAGTAGACAATGTACTAGATAAAAACACACCAAGCATATATTAAAAGTTACAGAAAATCTAACAATCTGATAACTAGTAAAAATAGAATTCTTCATGCATCCCATTAAGTCACAGTATTTAAGAATGAAAGAATTTAAGTATTTATTTCTAATTTATGAATATTATCTTTCAAACAGCAAAATTGTTAGGACACAAATACTTACCAAATTCTTTGAAAATAACTAATCCCTTAACAGAACTCAGGTACTTCTTTTGGCCTCAGAGGAAGAGTGAAAAAATGACTATGACATCATAAACCAAGAAAATTTCAGAACTTCTGGACCAAATGCTAGGAGAACAGATTTACCAACAGAGTGCTCTTTGTAGGATGGTTTTAATGTTAGAATTGCATATGGTGAATAAGCCTAGAATCTACGGATCTATGAGGCCTGGTTTCCCGGAAATGCCGCCCATTCCGTGCAACTGCCCGACTCTAAAATGCAGATGTCATAACCTCAGTGCTCCCTGCCGTGTGCAGTGTCTGCTCAGTTCTGCCCCAGTTTCTACCTACGTCAGAGAGAGCAGGAAGGGCCTGGGGTGCTGGGCTGGATGTCTCAGGCCTCGCTCTGCCTCACCTGTGCCTCTGCATTCCTGGTATCCTTAACTTTTTTAGACAGGTTGACATTGGACAAGAGCGTGATTTGTGCGAGTATGCTTCAGTAATCCAATCCTCAGCTCGACTAGCAATCAGGGAAATTCTGATGGAAACCAAATACAGTTGTATACCCACCAGATTAGCAAAACCAGCCTTTAAGGCCTAACAATACTAAAGTGTTGGTGAGAATGTAGAATAGCGGGAAACCTCAGACACTGCTGGCAGTATAAATTAGCACAGCCATTTGGGAAAACAGTGTATTATCTAGTAAAATTAAACGTGCATATTTTGTGGTGCAGCAATTCCACTTTTAGATACATACTTTGAGGAACTCTCTAGCACATGTATACTAGGTGACGTGTACAAGAAACTTCATAGCTTGATGGTTTATAAGGGCAACCCTACTGTCCATTGTAGGACCAGATAAACTATGGCATACTTCTATTTATAGAAGGGCACACCCCACAAGAGTTTTGAAAACAAGCTCCCACTGCATGCTGCAACATGGATGAACCTCACAGATACAATGTTGACCAAAAAGCAAGTGACATGATACAATTCAAAACAGGTAAAACAGAATAATATATCATGTAGGGATACAAACATATACTGAAAAAAAATCATAAAAGCAAGGGAAAGATTAAACAAAATCGAGGATAATGGCTGTCATCTCTGAAGGCCAGGGAAGAGGAAGAAATTAGGGTTGGGCCCACAAAGTGTTTCTGAGGTTTGGTCAAGTTCTATTTCTTCAGGTGCGTGGTAGATATGGCAGGTGTTTATTTTAGTGCTAGCCTTTAAGATGTACGGATGATCTATTACACAGTTAAAAAAAAGAATGGGCTGGGTGTGGTGGCTGTTGTCTGTAATCCCAGCACTTTGGGAGGCCAAGGCTAGAGGATTGCTTGAGCCCAAGGGTTTGAGACCAGCCTGGGTAACTCGGTGAGAACTCATCTCTAGAATAAGATAAAAAAAATTTAGCCAGGCATGGTAGCGCATGCCTGTAGTTCCAGCTACTCAGAAGGCTGAGGCAGAAGGATAGCCTGAGCCCAGCAGGTCAAGGCTGCGGTGGTCTCGAGCATGCCACTGCACTCCAGCCAGTGTGACAGAGTGAGACTCTGACTCAAAAATAAAAATAAAAAGGGAATACTTATACACTGTTGGCGGGCACTTAAATTAGTGCAACCTCTATGAAGAAAAGTATAAAGATTTCTCGTAGATGTAAAAATGGAACTGCCATTTGATCCAGCAGTTGAACTACTGGGTATCTGCACAAAGGAAAAGAAATTATTATATAAAATATTTATTGCAGCACTATTCATAATGACAAAGATATGAAATCAACCTAATTGCCCATCAACAAATGATTTAAAATAATATATACATCATATATATATATGTATATGTATGATGCCAAAAAGGTATATACATTTTAAAGAAGAGAAAAATTTTATTAAAATTGTAATGCTCAATAAGGTGAATACAAGTCACGCTTGACTTCTGCAATGACAAGAGGTGTTCAAGGTGGTTCCCATCAGCATCCAGACACTTCTGATTATGGTGAACAGCTCTTGACATCTACATACATACACGCATACTATTCTACCTTAAAAATTATGAGATCTTGTTTTCTACAGCAACATGGATAGAACTGAAGGCCATTATCTTAAATGAAATCACTCAGAAACAAAGGGTCATCTACCACATGTTCACTCTTACATGTGGGAGTTAAATGATGTGAACACATGGACATTGAGAGGGGAATGATACCGGAGACTCAAGGATAGAAAGGTGGGGGAAGTAGAAGGGATGAGTAATTATGTAATAGTACAAGACTATCAGAGAGTAACTATGCACGCCACTGTGGAAACAAACTTGATATTCAAGAGGAAATTCAGGACTTTTTGACATCACAAAACTTCCCAAGGTTGAACCAAAAAAAGACACTGAGACACTAAATAGAACAATAGCAACTCAGGAAATTGACTCCATTGTAAGAAAAATTCCTACAAAAAAAAAAAAAAAAAAAGCCCCAGACCAGATGGCTTTCCAGCAAAATTCTACAAAACACACAAGAAGGAGCTGATACCAATCCTATTGAAAGTATTCCAGGCAATTGAGAAAGAATTCTCCTCAAATCATTTTACAAAGCTAACATCACACTGATACCCAAACTGGGAAAAGATCCAACAAAAAAAAAGAACCACAGGCCAATATCCCTAATGAACATAGACGCAAAATTCTCAACAAGATTCTAGCAAATTGGATCCAACAACACATCTCAAAAATCATCTGTAGTGACCAGGTAGGTTTCATCCCTGAGATGCATGGCTAATTCAACATCCACAAGACCATAACTGTAATTAAATAACATCAACAGATGTAAAAACAAGAACCACATGATTATTTCATTAGACATAGAAAAACTTTTGATAAAATCCAGCATTCTTTCATGATAAAAACCCTTGAACACCTAGGCATAGAAGTAACATGCCTCAAAATAGTAAGCACCGTCTATGATACACTCATAGCCAGCATATTGTTAAATGGACAAATCCAACTTGGTATGATCATCGAATGATCATGACTTCTTGATAAATTAATATGCGTGGAAAAATAGACATGTCAATGATAATATGGTTATCACTGGGTCGTGGGACTATAGGTGGTCTCCTTTGTGTTTTTTGTTAGTCTTATGTGTTGAGCATATAGTTTTCGAAGGCTTTCTAAGACTGAATTAATCTAAGTCTATAAACTATGATATATTCAGCACTGAATCATGCCACCCAGCATGTCGTCCAGCTTTCCAGCAAAAGCTTCTGACCACTTCCCACATCTCGTGCCTGGGCTGGATGTGCTTGATGATATGGAAGGCTCAGCTGGGACATGAAATATAAAACAGCAACGTTTCTCACATGACCAACAACTGCTGGGTTTCTACTTTTCTTCTGTTCTAACCATCTCCCTCTATTAAAAATTCTATTTCCCTTCCTTCTCCTCCTTTTGCCAGGGGCACCTTAAAGGAAATGCCTAAAACAGGCCTGGCATTATCCAGCAAGCATTCAGGAAGTATTAGTTCCCTCCACAGCACGCTCTGTCTTGAACAAGTTGGCGTACGTCAACTTCCAGCTCTCAGCACTAACTGAGGCGCTTCCTTCCTGCCCAGACCTGTCCATGTTCCGTGGACTCCACAGGGTGGCAGGGGCCAGGGGCAACAGGAAGGAGAGCCACACGTTCTGTCACCCTCGTTCCCGTCCACCTCGACCTTCGTCCTCTCAAGACATACTGTCCAAGGGCTGTTTATCAAATAAAATCCAAATAAAGCTGACATGTGCTAGAGGCAGCACAGTAATTAAGATATTCCAATTAAGTATTATAAAACACCAACCAAATACAACAAACATAATTACAACTCGATTGATTGGAAAGACAAAATAATTTTTATACTCTAAACTTTTAAAAATTGTAAGCATGTAATTGTAACTCACATGATGTTATTACTCTTGTGGGCTCTTCCGATGTTTTCACACCAGCGATATTTACAAATATCATAAACCAATAATTCTTCTGGGAAAAAGTAGTTCCAACGCCGAATTCCTAAAATGCAGACAACGTTTCTAAAGGTACTATTACTTGATAATACGACAGTTCATGAGGAATAAGAGTAGCTTTACCTCCTCTAATGCCATGGTTATTCACTAAGGAAAGGACGAAATGATCAACTTCAGGGTAGGGTGAACACTGAAAACCTTGGATGGTTTCTCCTGCAACAGAGAAGACAAGAATTATTTATAAACTACAGTAGCTAAAAATTGAGAAGTTACATTTTTATTAAATTATTTTTCATACTATGATGGGTTTTGTAATCCCGCAGATTTTTTTTTCCTTCTTTTCAATTTGTCTTTCAGTCAGCTCATGTTTGTTACCCTCCAAGAAAGCAAGTAAAATTCAATCCTCTCAATGTTGACTAATTTTCATAAAAAGCATTTGAAATGACTTCAACTGCTGTCTTCATTCTGGCAAGGAGCTGGTCTGGTTCTATTGGCTGGACCTTGGTGTCCAGAGCTGGCTGGGCGCTCACTCCTCAGCCTGGGCGAGCTTCTGGGGAACTCAACAATCTCACAGAACATCACCATCAGATAAGGCCACTCTGTGGTCATGAGGATTCAAGACACACACATGACCACTCTGTAATCATGTCCGAACACGGACAAAACAGGACACAAAAATGACCAGACACCCCCATCCTGGCTAACCTAAGTAACTGCTGCTTCTGTACCAATTCATCCTTGTCTTCTCCTCCTTTTGCCAGGACACCTGAAAGAAAATGCCTAAAACAGGCCTGGCATCTCCAGCAAGCGTTCAGTAAATATTAGTTCCCTCAATAGCATGCTCTGTCTTGAACAAGTTCACATAAGTCAACCTCCAGCTCTCAGCACTAACTGAGGCGCTTCCTTCCTGCCCAGACCTGCCCATGTTCAGTGGATTTCACAGTACCAACTGCAGACTGAGTCTGCCTTCCTTCTAGATCAGGTTTACTCAGATGACCGATCACAGAGCTGTCCTTGACCACACCCAAATCCAAACAAACCCCACACTTCCTGGACTATTACCCAGTACCACCTATTCCAAGCCCCAATCCTGTGTTCTTTCTGATACCCTCTGATTTCAATGCTCCCGTCTTTCCTGGGGGATGTTCTCTTCTGTGGCAGTGAATCGTAAACACAGCCTGCTCCCAACAGGCGTTCCCAGAGGACTTCAGCTGGAAAGCATGACGATCCAATTGTAGTTTGTATCTAAGACTCTACCATAATAATTTAGGATGACCTACTTAAAATAGATATATTTTTTAAAATAAATTTTTTTTTTCTTTTGAGTCAGGGTCTCACTCTGTTGCTCAGGCTGGAGTGCAGTGGCACAATTGCGGCTCCCTGCAGCCTCAAACTTCCAGGCTCAAGTCATCCTTCCACCTCAGTTTACCAAGTAGTTGGGGCTACAGGCGTGTGCCACCATGCCCAGCTGACTTTTTAATTTTTTGTAGCGACGAGGTCTCGCTATGTTGCTAGGCTGGTGTTATACTCCTGGGATTAAACGATCTTCCACCTTGGCCTCCCAAAGTGCTGAGATTACAGGCATAAACCACTGCATCTAGTCTTAAAATAGTATTTAACTGCTAAAAATAGAAAAATCCAGTGCTCTTAAAAAACAGTCTATTATTTCACTCGCAAAAGCAACATATATAATTGGAATATTGGAAAAATATATTAATCTAGAAACGAGAAAAATAACCCCAACGTCTATAAATACATATAAAACAACCAGAAGAAAACGAACATATAAGAAAATGTTGGCGGTTCTTTTGCCAGTGCCAGCTCTGGCATGTCCTCTTTTCTTTTATCCTGTCTCTCTCTAATAAACTTTGTTTAAAGACTTTAAAAAAAAAGAAAGAAAATGTCATCCAGATTTTAATAAACTTGTGATCATACTATACATATAATTTTAGAGCCTACTTTTCCTCTCATCATCATAAATGGGTGTTTTCCACATTATATAGGCTTTATAATTTTAAATGTAATGGCTACAGAGTATTTCATAGTATGTAACCAATCCAATTTTGTTGTGCATTTAGATCGCTTTCAGTTTTTCACTATTATAAATTACAATATACCAAACTACGTCTATAAAAATGTTTACTAGAGGGCTTATGGAAGAAATCTTAGGGAAAAAAACCACGTTTTTCAGAACAAAAATGGGCAAATTATGATAGAGCCTTTCCAAGAAAAACGATGCAACCATTAAAAGGATGAAACGAACTTCCCATACTGGACGTATGAGAAGAGCTCTGTTAGGTTAAATAGGAAACAACTGTATTGGTTACCTAGTTAAGGGTGAAAGAGAACATTTCATTTGTGTTTTAATATACATTTATTTTATACAAATGATCTACATTATTTTGGTCTTTTTTGAAACATCACAAAATGAACATTAGTGAATAATGCTTTAATAAGCATCTCTTTTATACTTTTCCCATTTTGGATAGAAACTTAGAAGTAGTTTTAAAAGATCAGTGGATATGAACAGTTAAGATTTCAGATTTCTAGATTTTGTAGCCTTAGATTTTGGTGGGAGGTTTTTTTCTTCAAATTACCTGAAGTGCTCATACTGTTCAAATATTCAACTCCTTTTTGCTTATTCTGAGATGTTTCACATGTAAGAATTCTCAAAGTATCGGAGAATCTGAAGAAGATAAGTAAAAGAAACAAAGTCACATTATAGTAGAATTAAAGAAGCATCGCTACAGAAAGGAAACTGAACTCCAAATAGTTCCATATAAAAATCCCTTGTTCAACAGATAATTATTGTAGGGCATTTCTGCCATATTTGCCCACAAAAGTACCAATCTTACCCATATTAAAAAGTGTGAATTGTCAATTAAAGGACATAACATTTTATAAAAGGCCAGGCACAGTGGCTCATGCCTGTAATCCTAGCACTTTGGGAGGGCAAGGCGGGAGGATCACCTGAGCCCAGGAATTCAAGAGCAACCTAAGCAACATAGCGAGACCTCATCTCTAATAAAAATAAAGTAAAATAAATTAGCCAGGCATGGTGGTTTGCGCCTGTACTGCCAGCTCTTCGGGAAGCTGAGATGAAAGGATTGCCTGAGCCCACTAGGTGGAGGCTGTGGTGAGCCATGATCATGCCACTGCACTTCAGCTTGAGTGACAGAGTGAGACACTGTCTCCAAAAAAAAGGAGTTTGGTGGTCATTTGAAATACCTTCCTCAATTACAGAGTGACTCTGAGGGCTCCAAGGCTGCTGAAGTCAGTGGCAGAAGGACAGTCAGCCTTGGCCCCCCAAGCCCCTGTATCTGCAGATCCAACCACATGCAGGTCGAAAATATGTTTAAAAAACAAAAACTCATACAAATAAAAAAAATAGTCTAACAACTCTTTACCTAGCCCTTACATTGTATTCGGTATTATAAGTAATCTAGAAATGATTTAAAGTACACGGGAGGTTGTATGCGGGTTACACGAAAATACTACATCATTTTACATCGGGGACTTGAGCATCCATAGATCTGAGCATCCTGAGGATGATTGTATAATTCTGTTTACCAACACACAGAGACTTTGAACTTCCTGTTACAATAATTTTTAAAGTGTGACTCATAGTAAAAAAAAAAATGAAGAAGGAAAGAGGGATGAAAGCAAAGGGAAAAACAGATGAAAATTAACTGAAAGAAAAGATACATTAAAACCGTAAAGAATTCAGCCTTTATTGCAGGAGTAAAATACCTGGTATGTACCGGATACACAAAAGACAATTAAGGTAACCCTATTCGGTAAAAGAGCTGCAGTAAGATTAGTAGTTAAGTTGCAAAGAAATCGGACTTGGTAATGGGCCATGACCTGCACTCCAGGCTGTGCTACAGGCTAATGGGAGAAAGAATCTGACCATGTTCTGGTGCCAACCAGAGTCAGACAGTTCTGACACCACCTTTCTACCATTTGGAGAATCTGACCCTACTACTGCGACCAACTAACGTTTACTGAGCAGATACCATGTGCTGAACACTGCTGGAAATGTTTCCTGTGTACAGTTTAACTTATTTAGGCCTTTCAATAACGCCATCCGATAGGTATTATGATTTCCATTTTAAAAGTAAAGACACTAAGACCTTACTTCTGAGAAATGTTAGTCATTAGAGGAACTCAAGAGTATGGAGAGATGTAAACAAAAACCATCCCTCTTCCTGCCTTCCTGGGTAGCAGTGGTTAGCTATTCTGACACAACTGTCCTATGACCGCAATGTTCTGTAAGGGTGTATTATTAAAATTAATTTCTACAGAATTTTTCCTTAAAATTATATTTAGGAAAGGCAAAGGGAAAAGAATCATAGTAAGTCGATGGCAACTTTGCCTGGCCCTTCACCACGTGTCCTGGGTTGACAAAACTGTCAGTCCAGAAAAAAAGCAGATGAAGGCCAGTACAGTGAGTCCTCACATAATGTCGTTGACAGAGCAACACACACGGCAGGTCCTCAGGCAATGCTGTTTGTTCAATGTCGTTTCATTATAACATTAATAAGAAAAACTGGCTTCGTGTTAAACATTGTTTTATGTAAAAGTTATAGTTTCCAGTCGGGCGTGGTAGCGCATGCCTGTAATTCCGGCTGCTTGGAAGGCTGAGGCGGAAGGATCGCCGGAGCCCGGCAGGTTCGAGGCTGCGGTGGCCGGGAGCGGCCGCTGCACTCCAGTCTGGGCGACGGAGTGAGACTCCGACTCAAAAAAAAAAAAAAAGTTATAGTTTCCAATAACCTGTCAAAGATGCTAAGTAAGGATTTACTGTATTTCTGTTGGAAGATGACACTCATATTTGTTTAAATGATCAAAATATGAGAATCTAAACTAAATTCCACAAATAAAACTGACAATAAATTAGAGTATGTCATTAAAGTAGAAAATTAGGCTAATTTACAATTAACAGTTGGCAAATTATTAACTTAACATACATTCATAATATAACACTGAATAGAAAAAAACATGTAAATAATAATCACAAGAATATTTTTAAATAAAGGAGCTATGTAAATTACATATGTGTGTATATGATGTATGGAAATGAGACATTAACAGTAATTACATTTCCAAGTGCAAGATTAATAGTATTGTTTTATTTTTTATAGAAGGGATAATTATTTTAGAAAAACTGAAAAATGTATGCAATATAATTGTAAAAGAATAAAAAGAAAACTAAGTATTTATAAAATGTTTTACTGTTATTTTTCAGTTAGTGGAGAAAAAAACAGTTAACTTAGAATTTTAAATAACTGACTTTCTTTTTCTTAAGGTAGAATGAATTTACATGATTCACATTTTAGTAGTATACAATGCTACTCACTGCTTAATAAATATTCATGAATACACAATGGTTTGACATTTGTACTACATACCTGACATTGCTGACCAAAGAAGAGAGAAAATACTGATATTCTTCAGAAATATTTTTTGACTGTGTAGGAAAAAATTTGTTATCTTCAGCAATCTCCAAAGTCACGTGCTTTCCTATTTTTGATGATTTATATAGCCGAAAATTTCTATTTCTTGTATAAACTCCTACATCAAAAATTAATACAACATATGAATGCATGTTTTCTGGATTTTCAGTCACCAAAAATGTTATTTTTGTAAAGCATTACTAGAAGAAACAATTATTTTCTATATATAGCTGTAAACAAAATTAAAGCAATATATAAATTAAAATAAATTGGAGTTACCATGGAAAAATGCCACATCCAGGAAGAGCAAACTAGATTATTTTGGAGAAATTCTCTGATTAAAATCAAGTAAGAACACTAGAAAAAGGAACTGGAAATAAAAAGTTGGGGCTTCCTGGAAAGTTTCCAAGACAGTGAGGATTTGTGGTACAAATCCTAGAGAAAAGGGAAGCATAAAAAACATTCAAATATCTAGAATAAATCTAACAAAAGATGTATAAGCTTTCTATTCAGAAAATTAAATAACATTATTGAGAGAAATTGGAGAAAGCTATGTAAATGGAGAGATAAACCACATGCACAGAACAGAAGTCTTAGTGTTATAAAAATGTCACTTCTCTCCAAGTTGATTATAGATTCAATGCAAACCAAATAAAAATTCTAGCGGGGTTTGTATGTGTTTGCGTAAATTGGCAAATTTATTCTAAAATTTACATGGAAGTGCAAAAGTTCAAAAATAGCCAAGAAATTTCAAAGAATAAAGTTGGAGGACTTATTTGACTGGATAAGAAGACTTACAACAAAACTATAATAATTAGTGTGGTACAAGCACAGGAATAGATCAATAAAACAATGGAATAGGAAAAAGTCCATGAACAGACATATACTGTATATATACACACAACAGTTCATCTACAATTAATTGTTGACAAATTATTAACTTGGAAAATATGCATGACATAAAGTTACATTAAAAAAACAGGTGACATAACCATGTAAATAATACTGGACACTTAATTTATGGCAAAGGTGGCACTGCCAAACAGTAGGAAAAGGACAGTCTTTCAACAAATGATGCTGGGATGACTGGATATCCGCATAAGAAGAAATGAATATTGACTCCTCCTCACCCAATAAGCAAATCCCTTCCAAGTGGATTAAAAATCTAAACGTAAAAGGCAAAGCAATATGTTTCTAAAAGATAAGCAGGAAAATACATTCATGACTTTGAGAAAAGGAGAGCTTCTTTAATAAGCTACAAGAGACACTAACCACAGAGAAAAGCACTGATAAACCAGATGACTACCACTACTTAAAGTTAATAACATATCCATTAAAGACACCATTTAAAGAGTGAAAAGACAATCGCAAATACAAATGACAGCTGACCCTTGAACAACATGGGTTTGAACTGTAGGGGTTCACTTCAACATGGATTTTTTCCCATAAATACACTGGAAATTTTGTGGAGGGTTGGAACAATTTGAAAAAAACTCACAGATGAATCATTCAACTTAAAAATATCAGAAAAATTAATTAAAATGTATGTTAGGAATACATAAAATATATATAGTTACTAGTCTATTTTGTCACTGACTACCATAAAATATACACAAATCTATTATAAAAATTAAAATTTATCAAAATGCACACCCAAACACAGACAATCCAGGGTGCCACTCACAGTTGAGAGATGTACACAAATGCAAAGATGCAGTACTAAGTCAAAACTGCATAATTCACTGCAGTAATGCTGTTCTGAAATAATTTCACAGCCACCCCTGGCTATGGTGGTGAGCTCAAGTGCTCAAGTGTCCCCTTACAATGCACTGTGTGAGGCTGATCAGTTGTCTCCCCTAAACTGCATGACACAGTCGGGAGCGACCTCCCTTTCTCACATAGTTCTCATCGTATTTAGTGCAATACCGGAGACCTTGAATAACGTCATGGGACTCACACGAAGTGCCACTAGCGAGGCTGGAAGTGCTTCAAGATGCAGAGGACAATCCTGATGTCACAAGAAAGAGCCAAACTGCTTGACATGTAGGTAGGTCGAGAGCTGCAGCTGAGGGCGTCCGCCCTCCAGATGGACGGTTCGTTTTAGAATCAGATGACGTCAACTTGCAGAAACAATAAGGGTGGCCATTGCTTTGCTGAGCTATGGTGTGGCCATGTGCTCTTTGAGCTATGGCCAGGTCATGTTTTCTTAAGCTTTGGCCTCTCCCCTTCCTTGGGGAGGTGAATCTCCTCTTTCTCTCTCTCTCTCTCTAATTTACTTTCTAAATAAACTATATTTTCCAATCTTAATAAGTAAATAAATTCAGGGTGGTACTACCAAGTATTTTCTCTTTCTTATAATTCTCTTAATAATGTTTTCTTTTCTCTAGCTTACTTTAAGAATACAGTACATAGTACATAAAACATACAAAATACGTATTAATCGACTGTTCATGTTATCAGGAAGGTTCCCAGTATAGATGGCTCTTAGTTAAGTTTTGGGAGTCAAAAGTTATATACTCGGATTTTCAACCGCAGCGTAGTAGGGAGGGTGTCAGCACCCCAACCCCCATGTCATTCAAGGGTCCAATTATAAAAATGTCAAAAATAGGCAAAACTAATCCCTAGTGTTAGAGGACAGAATAGTGATTACCCCTGGGGAGGAGGCAGGGGTTCTGACTGGAAGGGGTGCGGGGGAGGTTATGGGACCTGGCAATTTTTTCTTGTCTTGGGTGGTGTAGTGACAAGGGGTGTTTGTTCTGTAATAATGCATTGACCAGCCAGGCACAGTGGCTGCAGTCCCAGCACTTTGGGAGGCCGAGGCGAGAGGATTGCCTGAGCCTGGGGGTTCGAGACCAGCCTGGGCAACTTGTGAGACTTTGTCTCTACAATAAATCACAAAAACTAGCTGGGCATGGTGGCATGCCTCTATAGTTCAAGCTACTTGGAAGCCTGAGGGGGGAAGGATCGCCTAAGCCCAGTAGGTCGAGGTTGCAGTGGCTGTGAGTATGCCACCGCACTCCAGCCTGGGTGACAAAAAGTGAGACTCCAACTCAAAAAAAAGAAAAAATGCATTGATCTAGGCGCTCGTGAATTATGTATTTTTCTATATCAATGTTATACTTCCATTTTTTAAAAAGCTTATTTTATAAAAATGTGGGCACGTACTATTAAATCTCTGAAGTTTTCAAAGGATAGTTTAAGGAATGATTTCCCCACCCTCTTTTGGTGCATAAACATATCTAGGTATGCTGTTGAAATATTTCTTTCAAGCCTAACAGGGAGTCCAGTAGCCTAACTCTCAAGGATGGAGTGTCATGAGCTGAGAGAGAGGCAGAGTGTATCTGCTGGCTAATGCCACTCTCCCTGTGGCAACCTGTCATGACGCATACCCTAGATTATTGCAGGCCAGTCCACTCGGAGACAGTGTGCTGCTAAGGAACAAAACCTGTCCCTTCAAAGAATGCTCCTCTACCCATAACTCATATGACTTCTACATTGCACTTATCTGATCATAGTTCCAAATTCTGGCACTAGAAAGACTATAACACAGCAGGAATATCCCTTCATCTGGGTTCCACTGTGGGCCTGGGCAGCTTATAACTTTTTTCTTTTTCTTTTTTTTTTTTTTGAGTCCACGTCTCACTCTGTCACCTAGCCTGATGGGCAGTGGAACAATCACAGCTCACCACAGTCCCCAACTCCTGGGCTCAGGCAATCCTTCTACCTCAGCCTCCACACCCAGCTATTTTTCTTGTTTAATTTTTGTACAGACAAGGTCTCGTTATGTCGCCCAGGCTTGTTTCAAACTCCTGGGGTCAAGCAGTCCTCTCGCCTCGGCCTCCCAAGATGTTGGGATGACAGGTGTGAGCCCCTGTGCCCAACCATATTGTGTAATGTAAACGTACTTTCCCTCTGACTTTAGATACTAACCATCTCTGAGGTGCTCGAAATCAACGGCAAAAATGTGGCTCTGACACTTTCGACATCACAAGCTCCACCCTCAGTATAAAAATGAAGCGTAGCTCACCACACTGGAGCTGTCGCGTGAGGGGTCTCAACGGGCCTGCAGGCTGAGCCAGGCTGAAGGCCTGCCAATCCGGTGCACCCTGCATCCCTGGGCTCAGAGACAAGGACCAAGCAGAGCCAAAGCTGGGTTGAGAAGTCACCAGCTTGAGGCTAACAAGAGAGCAGATGAAACAGGCCCCTCCGTCCACCGCAAGGCTCTCCAGCGACGAAACACCTTCCTGTGCTGCATGAGGACGGCTTTGACATTGCGTCTGATTGTGAAATTTGTGAAATCTGCTTTACCCTTTCAGCTGGGTTGGAGGGAGCTGGTCCGGCTGTCCCCTGCCAAAATTCCCTGAACCGGAAATCCTCTGGACATCTGGAGTAGAAGCCAGCTACAGCCTGGAACTCTCCAAGATCTTGGGGCAGAAACCTAGCATACTCCCATCCAGCACCTGAGCTCCCTGGTCACATCGAGCCAGTGACATGCCTGACACTGTAGGGCCATGACAGGAGGGGGAATCCCAAGCGTCAGGCCGACCGGGCACTGACTTATCTCTCTCAGAGGCATCAGGACCGTCCAACGGAGACAGCTGTCAATTCTACTCACCCAGGTCTACAAAAAGCTGCTTTTCTCCCGTGTCAGTCTTCACAACTGAAAATGAAAGGCTGGGACCACTGGGCTCGGCTGACCCCAGCCTCTCCAGAGTCTCTGAGTCCAAAGTGCAGCTCCCTTCTGTATCCTTATCCGTGGACATTTTGTTAAAGGAAATTCCTTCAGAAACATGAGGAAATCCCTGGCCTGTTGTCTCTGAAATACCATCATCACTTTCACTGGCAATTAATTGAAGAGCAGGCTGCAAGATCTTTCTTACAAAATGGCCTAAGGGAAAAAGGTATTATGAAGACTTGATGCTTCTTTTCCACAAATCATAACTTAGGATCCAGACACAAACCTATACACGGCAATTTTACACAGTAAGCGTTCTTTTTTGGATTTCTGGTTTCGAAAACCAATTGCTATACATTATAACATGCCTCTCCCGCCACTTCCTCCCTCCTGTGCAACCTTTTACTTTTTGAATTCCTATTGACATGAGAGCTTGGTGTCAGCTATAAACAAACCATTTTAGAAGGGAAAGTTCATCTGGGAAGGTATGCTGATGTTGCTAGAGCAGGACTCAGCCTCACACACTGAGGAGAGCGTATCCACACGCTGTCGCCCAAAAAACGCCACGTGCATTACTACAAATTGAGAGAAGTTACCTTCACGATCAATGATTAAAGAATGACAAGCTTATAGGAGGAAACTGCTGCTGGGTTCACGGACAGAGGCACTGAGGGAATCTCTGCCGTGCCGGTCCTGAGTTAGGATGTCGGCATGTATCTCAGGAGTGTGCTTTCTCCCCTTCCTTGCCACAACTTGCCTTCCGAAGATAGTTGTCAGCACCAGGGCTGCGGCTGCTCCTGTCCCCGCTCAGACTCACTATGGGCTAGACTATGGCCTTGGCTGATGTCCAGCACTAAACAGGTCAATGCACTCACTGTACTTCAGCATTCATCTTAAGCCGAGGCGAGCAGATTGCCTGAGCCCGAAGGTTCGAGACCAGCCTGGGCAACTTGGTGAGACCTCGTCTCTACAATAAAATAAAAAATAGCCGACAGTGGTAGCACGTGTCTGTAGTTCCAGTTACTCGGAAGGCTGAGGCAGAAGGATTGCAGGAGCCCAGAAGGTCAACACTGGGGTGGCCGTGAGCATGCATGCCACTGCACTCTAGCCTGGGCGAAGGAGTGAGACTCCAACTCAAAAAAAAAAAAAGAGCTCCGAGTAACAGTGCTCTTATCTGTCCCATGAATAGTACATAAGACAACCTGGAACTTCTTTAAACTCATATATATTATTTCTACCATGAAGTCAAGTAATAATTTGGCTATTAAGTTGCTTCATATAAAATAATATTGGAGAAATGCGATACTATAAGAAAAACTTAATTTTAATCCCTAGCTCTGTTACTGTCTGGGTTTATTCCTCACTTATTTACCAGAAAGTCTGGAACTCTTTTTTTTTAATGTTTATCATTTTTTTTAATTTTTAATTTTAAATATGTGGGGTACAAGTCAGGGTTAGGTATACAAATGTTCATTAAGCAGGAACCCTTGTAGCCTGGAACTCTTAAATCATAAGGTACACATGCTCTAAATTCCTCTAAGTTAAAAATTATGTTTTCAAATTAGACTTAGTTACTTTCCTACTCAAAGAAATAAATCCTGTTTCTTATATAAAGTGCCAAATGTCAAAATGAAAGCAAAAGCATCTGATCTTTGTAATGACATGCCTGTGCAAACATGATAATTTTGGAATGAGGGAGAGAAGGTCAACACTGACTAAAAATCAATCATGACATATCAAAGGACAACAAAGCAATATAAGCATAAATTGATAAGTTGATTTTCCTGGACTCCTAAAATTGCACCTCCTTGACCTTGACAATAAGGGAAATCGGCCCATGGTTGCAGAAATGGGGTGACAGTGGCACGGAGAAGGCAAGTGGACCTTTGGGCCTTGGCGGGGGATCCCATGGCCAGCACATGACGACCGCCAGCCAGTATCAACCACTCTGCTTTCTATTTCCTTCTCTTATCACCCACCCCTCATTAAGATAGACACTATCTTACTGGACGGAATAATGCAAAAGAACTAGTCAGCCACAGGCGTTTCAGGTGCCGTGAAGACTGGATGAAGAGTATTTCCAAGCAGACCAAATTCTGTGATCTCTTACATTTAATTCCCTCAACTAGAAATGTCATCAAGAGACACATTAAGGGAGAAATTTTGGGCTGCTTCATAATCTCTGCATCTGTGACACTGGCAGTTCATAAAATTTGAGAGGAGAGCATCTCGGATGACACCCCATTTCCAAGGCCTGTGTAGACTGGCTTTAAATTCACTCTCGGACTAAGTTATTCCCATCCCCAAATTAGCCACATATCGGTAACTCCATACTTATGCTTATGCTGTTCTCTCTGACCAATAAAGCCTGTCTTTGCTTCGTGTACATGATGAAACCGTATTCAGAGAACATGTGTTTTCAGACGCCACCTGGAGCAAAGGCTGCTGGTTACCTGCCAAATGCATTCCCGCCTTCTCCCCACCAACAGGCTCTCAGTTGTCAGCCTGTGGCTGAGGGTCACAGAGCAGTATGGTGAGCAAATAGGAAGCAAAGGAGTAGCCCCTGGACTCCGCCTCCACACCCTGCCAGGGCACCCTCCACCCGGCAGGCGTCCACCTGCACATGGCTACGAAGTGCCGACTCAGTCGATTATTTCTGAGGTTGTTCTCCCATTAATGATATTGTTAAGATTATCGATAGCAATGTTATTATGATGATGATGTGCTAAGCTCTGGAAATACAACAGTAATAAGAAATGGTCCCTGCCCCAAGAAAACATTAAGTGGAATAGAGAAGATGACCAAGAAAACAGGAAATGGCCTCAGGAAGTGGTAAGTGCTCTGACACAATAAGCCCTGGACATCTTCTGCAACTCAGAGAGGCACCAACCTAAATCCTGGGGCTTGGGGTGTGACAGACACAGCTCAGATGACGTGACATCTGCACCGAGTCCTAACAGCCCGGGTGTATCTGGAGGTACGTCTATTTAGACAGCATCACCCAAGAGTACAAAGGCCTAAGGACTAGGGAATGTGTGGCCCATAGCGGCCGAGGAGAAGGGCAGGCTGGTTAGGGAGGAGGGGGAGCCCATTTTGTGAGCTGAGACAGCTGCGCTTTTTCCTGAAGGCAACGAGTAATCATTGCAGGGTTCGAGGCATGCGAGTGGTGTCATCAGCTCACTCTAGGGAGCTGAATAAATTCAGTGGGCTGAGAAACACACAGAGGTCAAAGAGACACCCACATTTCTACTTGGGCCACTGGTGACACCGCTCACTGATACACACACCACAGGAGAAGAAGCAGGCTCAGAGGAAAAGATGAGCAGCTCAGCGTAGGACACGCTGAGCTGGAAGCAGCTGTATTGGGGACACTGAGCAGACAGTTAGTTGGCTGCATGGGTCTGACGCTGAGGAGAAAACCTGGGCTGAAGACACAGATTTGAGAGTCATCAACGCCATGACAGGACATGATCATCAAGGATAAGGAGAGTATGAGAAGAGGGTCAACAACATATCCGACATTGCAAATATCTAAGAGATGAACTGGGCGTGGTGTCTCACGCCTATAATCCCAGCACCTGGGGAGACCAGGCAGGAAGAGTGCTTGAAGCCAAGAGTTCAAGGCCAGCCTAGACAACATAGTGAGACAGCGTCTCTACACAAGCCACACTACCCCGCAAAAACATTAGCCGAGTGTGGTGGCATGTGCCTATAATCCCAGCTACTTAGGAGACTGAAGCTTGAGCCCGGAAGTTTGAGGCTACAGCTAACTGTGATTGTGCTACAGTACTCCACCTGAACAAGAGAGTGAGATCCCAGCCCCAAACAAACAAACAAACAAATATCTAAGGGATGAGAGAAAGAGACAGAGGATTGTCCTGCTTAACTAACAGAAAGCAGGGAGATGATGAGGAACCTTCTAGACAAAGCACACTATGTGACCCATATTACCCCAATCCACCAAATAGATCTCTAACTTTTATGCCAGTCCTTTAATGACTGTTCGTGCCTTTTGCCCTAGGTGGCCATGAAACTCTTGTATCTCTGGAACAGATTATCTGTTACCTGGACTTCAGTCAATCACCTGCTTTGAAAAACACTCAGGATTTGGGCTTCTGTTCAGACCTTGGTTTTTGGTATTCCCATTCTGCCTGCTTGTTTCACCTTTGTTTCATACCTGGGCCTATATCTCCAAGTGCCCATCCCTGGGACAAGTATTCTGGTTACGCTCTCAGGCTTGTAAAACTAGACTTCCTCCTACCCCTGATATCCTGCCTAGAACAATAAACAAGCCTTCCTTGATATAATCTGGGACCCAAGCCCCAAAGCAAGGCTGAAACAAATGTCAGAAATTCAGATACAAGGTATCACAAACATGGCAAGGCCTCTCATGAATTATCCAGAAAACTGAAATGAATTACCTTGAAACAGAGACAAGTACCAGGACACACATGGCCATCCCAGTATCTATGATAAAAGGTGCTAATGACAAAGGTGTCCTGAGTAGGTTCATGTGCCTGGAACAGAAAGATTGGTCTAGAGCTAAGTGTAAATCTTGAAAATGTTAAAAATCATATTGCATTTTCTAGGATAGGTAAATGACCATACGTGATAAGTACTTACAAAATTTTAAGAGAAATAAGAAAATGTAAGTTTTTAATACAACTCCAGTTTTTTTGTTTGTGTTTGAGTCAGGGTCTTACTCTGTCACCCAGGCTGGAGTGCAGTGGCACAATCAAACCGAGACCCCAAATTCCTGGACTCAAGTGATCCTCTAGCCTCAGCCTCCTGAGTAGCTGGGACTATAGACATGTGCCACTAGGCCCAGTATTACTTTATTTTTTTATTTCACTTTATTTTATTTTATTTATTTATTTTTTATTTCATTTAGTTGGAGTCTCACTCTGTCGCCCAGGCCGGAGTGCAGTGCTGGAACTATAGACACATGCCACCATGCCTGGCTAATGTTTTGATTTATTGTAGAGGTGAGGTTTCACCAAGTTGCCCAGGCTGGTCTCAAACCCATGGACTCAGGCAATCCTCTCACTTTGGCCTCCCAAAGTGCTGGGATTACAGGCTTGAGCCACCATGCCCTGCCTATTTTTTTTTTTTTTTTTGTAAAGGTAAAGTCTCATTATATTGCCCAGATTGGTCTTAAACTCTTTGGTTCAAGCAATCCTCCTGCCTCAGACTCCCAAAATGCTGGGATTACAGGTGTAAGCTACCACACCCTGCCCATAGTTTTGAAAAAGCAGTGTACTTACCAGCATGAATATTATCTTTAAATGCCACATCATGGAGCTGAAATATTAAATGGCGGCTAAATTTTTCATCAGTGCTAGAATCCAAGTTCAGAACATCTTCAGCTGAACAATTCACACTATGTAATTCTTGAAGCACTTTACACACATGCTAAAAATACAAGTAAGATATAAATAATTTACATTTCTTGTTTTAAGATTTTCTGTGAGCAAAATTCAAATGTCTTGGTACAGGTCAATCTATCTAATGTAAAATTTGATTCATTATCAGAAAATTTACAATATAACAATCTTACCAATATACTTACAAATTGAAGTATATGCATAAATTAATATATGGCTATGTTCATAAATTAATAGACTCTCAGGATTAAAGACTTCTTAGAAATCAAGCAATTTATATATTAACCCCTACAATTACAATAAAAATATTTCTTTTAAACATCTCTTTAAATATCATCTATGAGTTAAAAAGTCAATAGTTCCTTTTTTTTTGAGTTGGCATCTCACTCTGTTGCCCAGATTGGAGGACTGGAGTGCAGTGGTATGGTCACGACAATCACAGCAGCCACAACATCCTGGGATCAGGTGATTCCCACCTCAGCTTCCTGAGTAGCTGAAACTACAAGCAAGCACTACCACATCTGGTTAAATTTTTTACTTTTTGTAGAGACGAGGTCTTGCTATGTTGCTCAGATTGGTCTCGAACTCCTGGGCTCAAGCGATCCAACCACCTCAGCCTCCCAAAGTGTTAGAGTTTCAGTCATGAGCCACTGTGCCTGGCGGTAATTCAATTTTCTATAGTTTTAATTATGAGTAAGCTTCTCATTCACAGTGAGCCCAATCTAGCCCCAAGAACTCAGCCTCTGAAGCTGCATGACCTGATAATGAAGCAGTCATGCACTGTAGAAAGGCAGCAAGCATATGGCTAGGAGCTCACGATCTGGAGTCGGATAGATCCAAGTTTGAGTTTTGGCTTTGCCACTTGCCAGCTCTGTGACTTTGGTCAAATCTAAACCCTGCATTCCTCTCAGCAGCTAAACAGGAACAGTGATGGCACCTGCCTTTCGGAGTCGTAAAGAGTCCACGAGAAAATGAGACTCAGGAGTCAGCACAGTGACTAGCAAATGGCTAAGCAGCCTCAAGACAAGTCATTTATTTTTTTTCAGGGAGGAGAGGCATGTTATGTGTATTTCTTCTGCTTCAAAGCCAGGATAAAGCTAACATTCTCTCTATATTTTTATAAAGCATTTACATACATTTTAAAATAAATTTAAAATAAGCATGCGAAGGTTCAGCAGAGGACATTAGCAGATATCTCTCATCAAAAACATTATCATTTGAATATATTTTAAAAGTTATAAAATGGGTCATCTACAACATTATTATGCAGCTAACATCTAAAGGAAAAATAAATAAGCAATAAATGTCTGAGGCCAAATAATAGTTAATACAATTTTAATGCAACTTCAAGTAACAAAATCTTAAAATGTTTCTGCACAAGTCCATATTATTCCTTTTATGGTAACTTCCTGGTTGACACAGCAGCATCAAAAATAAATAGTAGGCTGGGTATGGTGGCTTCCAACACTTTAGGAGGCCGAGGCGAGAGGACTGCCTGAGCCCAGGAGCTCAAGACAAGCCTGGGCAATTTGGCAAGACTTCGTCTCTACAGTAAATAAAAAAATTAGCCAAGCATGGCTGGCATATGCCTACAGTTCCAGCTACTTGAAAGGATAGGACAGAAGGATGTCCTGAGCCCAGCAAGTCGAGGATGTGGTGGTTGTGAGCATGCCATTGCACTCCAGCCAGGGTGACAGAGTGAAAATCCGACTCAGAAGCTAAATAAGTAAATAGTAGAACAGCATCTTTTCTCTTAATTAAAAATAATGACAATTGCATTGTAGAGAAGATTTTACCAATAACCTAGCTGTAAGGCCTTGTGTAGGAATTAGTCTCTTCTAGGTCTTAATTTCCTCATTTATGAAGGGATAAGAAAAACGATTCCCAAAATTCCTGCCAGCTCAAAAATTCTGATACTATTTTTAGTCAACGTTTCCTTGAGGCTCATCTCAGTACTTAATTTTTACAATAAAAGTTACTTTGCCTGGCTTTTACCAGAGTTGGCTACTTGTAATAAAATCAGAGAAGTAATTCATAATTTTAAAACAGCATAGAAATTTTCCAAACTGCCATTTTTTCAAAACTTTTTAAAAAACCAAATCCATTAATAAGACAGACTCTATGAACATACATCAAACTTTCCTTCCTTTCCACAGATTACTCATATGTGATCCTAAAAAATGCTGGCACACGCCTGTAGTCCCAACGACTCAGGAGGCTGAAGTGGGAGGATGCCTTGAGCCCCGGAGCTGAGGCTGCAGTGAGCTACGATGGCACCACTTCACCCAACCTGGGCGAAAGAGAGAGACCCTGTCTCAAAAAAAGTGAAAAATAAAATAAAAAATGAAAGCCACAGTGAAGAGTAGCAAGAAAAAGAAGGAGAAACACGGAACCTACATTTATATAAGCTGAATTCACTGAATGAATGAATAAGTGAATGAAGAGGGGAATGGATAGATTTAAGGAGAAAAACAAGGCTGTCATTTACCTCAATGAGTAATGCAACCATCTCTTTCCCATCAGCTCCTGGGTTGGCAGGTTTGTTAAATTCCAAATCAAAATAAAGTTTGCACACAGCATTTTCAGGAATAACTTCATAGCAGTGCAAGAGATTTTTTCTAAATGGAATAATTCAAGGTTATTTGATTAGTTTACACCTTTTAAATCATGGAAGTTGATCTTATATCTCAAGTACTGTGTTAACCTAACTGCATATAAGTATGAAATAATGACATGATAAAGTGAACATGTTTACATAGCTTTATGGTCCATAGTATCAAGAGTGTCCATCAAACAAAATGTAATGATTATATCCTGTAACATTAAACTGGAAGATACAAACTACCTTACAGTATTATTTATTCCAGATGAATTTCATATCACCATGAAACAAATTTTGTTTGAGAAAAGAATGTTTTTCTCTCAAATTGGGATCCCAGGATTACATATTCTTGGGATTCTATGAATTCTCTATGAGAATTTTTAAATTTTAATTTTAAATTTTGTATTTTCTTTTTTAAATTTTGTATTTTCATTAGGAAAATATTTTTTAAATTGGTTAAAAAAATCAGGAATCATCTGACTTCCATAAGCTTCCAATGTTCATGTTTGTAGCTATATTCTTTTCTTTTCTTTCAGGGGTGAAATTCTTTATTTTAAGGTATATTCTAAAGATATCACCCCAACACCCAAAATTTTAAAAATCTCTAAAAACTAAAAGTGATTTCATCTCCTAGGTTCCACCCAATCATCTAAGTAAAGCTCTTTCTTTGGTCCCTCTGTTCTCCCAAGTCATCTCTTGTTCCCACAACCCACTGCGCCTGGGGAGCTGGCCAGTGGGACCAGCTGAAACAAGGAGTTCTCTTTGGCATCAAGTTGGCATTAAGGTGCCTAGTGGTCAGGTGAGCTGCTTCTGGTTTGCAGGAGCTGACAATTCCTGTCTTGCTCCTGGGGCCACTTCCAGAAAAGCCAGAGGCAGATAAACTTGTGACGATGGCTGGAGAGTTGGGCACCTGAAATCACAAGAACATGATGTAGGGATCTCTCAGTCATAAGCCACAGAGGGTCCAGGAGGCAGAAGGGTGTGGCCATGGTGAGTGAGAAGGAGAGACACTGGTTGGGTTTTGTCTGAACGACCTTGGCCAAGTCAGCCAGTGGTGAGAGGTACGTGCTGATGGTGAAGACACTGCAGAAGAGACCCAGCTGCTGAAGGCGGGCCTCAGGATCGGGCACAGGAGCCAAAAGTAGCCATGACCCTAGAGAAGGACCCCTAACGGCACTGCAGTCTGTAGGAGCACAACATGCTTCTGAGTGCAAGTACACCAAGATATACAGGGCGTGAAGTGCAGCAACCACCACATTGACCACAAAGAGGATCCCGTCTCCCTTCGAGGCCCCATAACTCGGCCAGCTCAGGTTGCTGACTTCGGTGGTGAGAAAGGGCAGCAACTGGACATTGTCCATGCTCCAGGTCGTCCAAAGGTACCTGAGGTCCGAGTAGTAATAGGGTCTCAAAGGGAAGGCTGAGGAGTGGGAAGAAGGGAGGACCAGGCTGCTGGGGGGGATTCCCAATGCCTGTCAGGCCTCCCAGACAACCCCCCAGATCTCCTGCCTTCTCCCTCAGGTCAAGGGACCAACCTCACCCTTGTACCCCTTGACCCAATTCTGCTTTGACCCCAGATTCCTGATGCAGCCTGGGGCTGTGGCCATGTCTCTGCTCCCTCCTGCCTCTCCTGACTTCCTGGTCCTGCCCCAGACTAGCCCGGTCAGGCTGTCACGGGCCGGGGGAGAACATGCCGAGGGTGAAGACCACGCATACTTTGAAAAGGAGCGAGTTGAGCACACCGCCCACCTCCATCACACCCGGAGTCGGATCCTGTGCCCGTATTGGGTACCAGTCCGCCAGGGCCCAGACCTGCCGGTAGTAACATTCTTGCTGGCATGAAGAGAAATGACTTTGACATGGGTTAATAAGAATAGATGCTGGTCAGGTATAGTGGCTCATGCCTATAATCCCGGCACTTTGGGAGGACAAGGTGAGAGGACTGCCTGAGCTCACAGGTTCGAGACCAGCCTGGGCAACTTGGTGAGCCTTCACCTCTACAATAAATCAAAAAATTAGCCAGGCGGGGTAGCGTGTGCCTGTAGTTCCAGCTACTTGTAAAGCTGAGGTGGAAGGATTGCCTGAGTCCAGCAGGTCGAGGCTGCGGTGGCCATGAGCATGCCACTGCACCCAGCTTGGGCAATAGAGTGAGACTCCAACTCAAAAAGAAAAAACAGATGCTGGCTTAATATGTAAATGATCATTTGGGCTAAGTGACATTCAGATGCATTCTATACAAATAAAGGATGTGTAGTAATTTGAAGAAGGAAAAATGGCATGAGAATTGTATCATCATGTAGCACAGGAAGTACAGGACATGAACTCAAGACACACACACACACACACACACACACACACACACACCCTGTAGCACTCAGTACCATATTTACACTGTACGATGAGACTGAGTTTCAGCAGAACATCTCTGTCACATTACCCTAATGATTTTAATTAACACTCTAACTGGTGTTGCCTGTATATAAACATTAATAAATTCTATCTTACATTTGAACCTTCTTAAACATTATTATAAAAGTATTTAAAGTCAATATAGGGCATCCATCACAATTTACTCCCTTTTCTGTGACTTGGGTCTGAGAAATACTTAAATAGGTTACTCAATTAAAACAAAGTTAATGGCCAGATGCGGTGGTTCAAGCCTGCAATCCCAGCAGTGAGGGAACAGTCTGAGCCCAAGGGTTCAAGAACAGCCTGGGCAACTTGGCGAGACCTCATCTCTACAATAAAATAAAATTTTAAAAATAGTTCCTGTAGTTCTGGTTACTTGGAAGGCTGAGGCAGAAAGATCACCGGAGCCCAGCAGGTTGACGCTGGGGTGGCCATGCACATGCCACTGCACTCCAGCCTGGGCGATGGAGTGAGACTCTAACTAAAACAATAAACAACAAAAAAAAACAAAGTTAGTAATAAATAACTTAAAGTGCCAGGTGTGGTGGCTCACACCTATAATCCTAGCACTTTGGGAGGCAGAGGCAAGAGGACTGTCTGGGCCCAGGGGTTCAAGACCAGCCTGGGCAACATGGCAAGACATCGTCTCTACAATAAATCAAAAAAATAAAAACATAAAAGAAATAAATAACTTAAAGCAATAAATAATAAAGATAACGCATATATGTATTATTAATTAATAATGTAAGTATTTGTGTTTAATAGTATAATACTTGTTTACCAAACAGAGCCTTCAAAATTCCCTTTGGGTACACACGTATGTGTGTGCATGTGTTTGATTTTCTCACAGCATCTTGTGAATAATCAAGTGTTCTATGACAAGGGATCTCTAGAATTCAATTCTAACAGTCAACAGGTAATTATTCATGTGTCAAGAACTGTGAAAGCCAATTCAGCCAGAATTAACTTCACCAGAATAACTAGACAAAGGAAATACAGGTTTCGCTTAATTTGTTGTTCGGTGGCACACTACTTACCTGGATTTATAGTAAAACCAAAGCTCAGCATAGGTTGTTACAAGGTAAACGCGTTGTCCATCTCCCACTTTGTATTCCAAAGCAAATACATGAACGTCCTATATAAAATTTTTAAAAATTTCAGAAAAATTCACAAAATGCAAATCTAAATTCAACTGTAGCTATTAAATGTTCGTGAAGAATTTTATCAATCAGGTTTCCAGAAACTAGAACTTGAACATCTGTACTACTAAAAAGTCACTAGATCTATGCCATTCAAAATCTATGTATATTTATTTTTCTCATTCACATAATACATACAAGGTGAAAACAATACTATGCAAATCAGAGACAAAAAAGAAAAAAAAATCCCTCTTAATTCCATTACTCTAATTTGACTTCCTATGAGTTTTATTTCTTCATTTATGAACTTGAACTTATTTTTCAAGACTACTTAAACATTATTATAAATGATTTGGGCTAAAGTTAATTAATAAATTCTCTAGTATAAAAATGTATGTGTGAACCAGTTTTTTAAAGGTTAATCACTGTGGTAGTGGATTAAATACAACTGTTCATGACTGTAGCTATAAAGAGTTTATACTGACAAAAAAAAAAGTATAAGTTCTTTTGTTTCCACTTAGCTAAAGGTAACTGGTGAGCCTGTTTTTATTTTTGTGAGTAAGAAATCACAGGACTCAGTTGCTTGACTCAATTAAAAATCTTTTTGAAATAAATTTTATAGACTAGTAATTGGCAAGTCCAGTAAGCATACCCCTGCATCCTTTTTACAGTTAAAGTTCAAAGTTCAAATGAATGTCAGTATTTTAATTGCTGATGCCTGAATTTGACCTACTCAAAATGAGTAAGACAGGGATTTCCTATATTTCCTAAACTATCCTGATGAGATTTGAGGGACTGTATCACTACTAGGGAAAGAGGGGTCCTTCCCCTAAAACTTCCAGCACTTTGGGCTTTTACACAGCATTCCTGACAGACATGCAATACATTTATGTTAGATTTTATATATGAATCTTATCTTTTATTTCATATTTCTTTATATTCCCCACAGTGCCCAATTAAAAAAATGTACAATACACATCTGCTGCTTGACTTAGCCATGTTTATTTTTTGAGCACCATGCTCTTTGCAAGGCTGGCATGTAGCTAGCACTTCCTTTTCCCACTTGTTTAATGTGTTGACACTAAATATGGTCACCTTCCACTGAGCATAGCTTCATTTAGATGTCATTACAATTTTAAAACTAATTGTCACTAGATGTTATTATCTTTGGCTACTAATAGAAGCTAAATTATTAATAACTCATAGGTATATTTTTCCTAAATCATGTGACATTAAGATTGTCATTAAATTATCTTGGTAGAATACAAGCTTGAAATCAAGACAAATAATAGATTTTTTTTTTAGAAATCTTAGGTTATAGTAGCTCGAAGGAGGAGGAGGAGGAGGAGGAGGAGGGGGAGGAGGAGGAGGAGGAAGAGGAGGAAGAGGAGGAGGAGGAGGAGGAGGAAGTGGAAGAGGCAATTACTTCTTTACAGCTCCTAGCAAAATTAAAGGCTTGAGTTTGTCGATGAAATAATTTCCAAATGGAGGGTGGTTGTTCTGGCTTGGACAACCTTGGTCTATACACCAAGGACAGTGGTTTCCTCTTATAATGAGATGCTCGTTCTTCAATTTGCTGCAGTTTTGCTTCCCATTTTCTGTTCATTGGCTCAGACGTATGGGGAGAAAAAATCCCATCCCATGTAAGACTTCTGTCAATTACTACTAAAACAAACAAACAACCAAAAAGGTCATCAATTTCTTTGTTAGAATATATTTTGCTTGATAAAATTTCAAAACTCATTTCCTGATGCTTTTTTCCTCGTGTACTTTATATTTTATTCTCTGCATGAAGTTTTGATCATAGAACAAGAGCAGGGCTGGTTATCAAAAATCCTTAGATCCTGGGACTTCCATCTAATATGTTATGACCTTGGACAGGTCAATGAAGCTCCCTGAATTTTAGTTTAATCAACTGCAAAATGAGACTCAATATCATTTTGGATACTTTATATACTTACCTTGAGGATAAATGTGATAAGACATATGCAAATGTTCTCTAAATTGCAAATGTATCATTATGGTTTTTATTTTTTTACTATGCAGTGGCATGCTCATAGCTCACCGCAGCCTCAACCTCCTGGGCTCAGCAATCCTTCTGCCTCAGTCTCCCAAGCAGCTAGGACTACAGGCCCATGCCACCATGCCCAGCTGATTTTTTTTTTTTGTAAAGAAGAGGTCTTGCTCTGTTGCCTACACTGGACTCAAACTCCTGGGTTCAAGCAGTTCTCCTATCTCAGTCTCCAAAAGTGCTGGGATTACAGGCAGGAGCCACAACACCTAGCCTCATTATGGTCGTTATAATAACTATTTTGTGGCATTAAGTGCTACCTATCTGGCTGTATTAGTACTGCTATCTCCTCCACTATTCTTGTGCTGTTATTTCTCAATGTAGAGTTCAGTTCTAGATACTAATGTGTACCTCTTTATTCCCTTTCCCTCTGTTTCTTTCCATTTCTCTTTTTCTCTCTCAACACAACTTTTAGTTGGGAGACTAATGCAGTGTATGAATAGGAATTACAATATTGGCTAGTTTGGGATATCTGTGGTAACGATTAATTTTTATTTCTAAATGATACTTTCACGTTAGCCATGTCAAGGTGAGGGGGACAGGCAACGCTTTCCTAATTTGGGAATTATGGTTTATTCACAAAGGAAACATAATACGTTTTTAGAAAAAAAGCGGGGAAACTTCCACGACAGGTTAAAAACGGTCACAAATGCCTTGCCATTTTTCCTGTCAAGAGATGTCACCTAAGTTTACTGCCATATTAACTCTGGGCTTGGCCACTCGATATACTTTGGGCCAAAGTCACAAGGACAAATGTGAAGCGAGCAGAGATTTAACAAGTGCTTTTGCATCAGATTTGGTTGTCCTGGAGTTCTGCTCTGAGACTGTCATGCCATAACTCTAGCCCCATAGAGGATAAAAGGACTCATGGAGAAGGACCAAGGCATCCCAGCCAACAGCCGGGACCAACTGTCAGATGTGTGAGTTAGGCCATTTTGAATCACCCAGCCATCAACTGAATTCAGCACATAAGTAAATCCAAGTGAATCCAGGAGAGACCTATAGAACTGCCCAGTCAAACCAAAGAACTATAAATATATATATATATACACTGTAAATATATATACTGTAAATATATATATACTATAAATAAATATATGTATATACATATATATATATTTTGAAGTCAGTAAGTTTTGGTCTGGCTTTTACATGGTAATAGGTAAATAAAATAGTTTCCCTCTTCATTAATATCAACTATGCCATAATTTGCCCATGTGGAAAACAGATATGTTAAGGTTTTTAAAAAGTGAAATGATAACATGCACTAAAGCATTTGAGGGCAAATTCCTATTTACCTTTGGTAATAGCTTTGTGCTTATTGAGGCTGGTAAATATTGTCTTGAAACTCAGCAGAAAATTTTGCAGCAACCCAGACTCATTGGCAAATGATACATCCCCTGGAAGGAAAGACAGAATCTACAAAAAAGATTAAAAGAGGATAGGAATATCATGACCTTTTTAGAAAAAATGGTATATTAGCCATAGATTTTAAATTTGACACCAGTCATAACATACCTAGGAGAAAACTACTCTCTCGGAGTTACAACTAATCCACATGAAATTTTATAAATTATAAACCAAGAAACGGAAATATACTTCTAAAGGAATTAGTATAAATTTAATAATAGATGTGCATAGGAAAAGAATATCATTTCATTGGGTTGTGGAGATGGAGTGATTTTTTTTAAAAACTGCTTTAACTTGTCAATACAAAGTGATACAACTCTTTATTGCTACATAGAATCTGAGTATTCAGTTTACAATAAGCTGCTTCAGATACATATAAAAATCTGCTATTTCAGATAAGCCTAATTGAGAAACTAACTTTTTACTATGAAATTTACTAACTTTTAACAAAGTCCATTGATTACTTAATGAAGAAAATAGCACAGAATGCAATCATATCTGAACCACAGCCAGCATCTATCTAATAACTGTCTAGGAATGACCACGTGGATGTTCACACTTAGTGATACTGAAATCTTGTCTAGAAAAAATTTTTTTTGATTTTGTAAAAATCTTGGTATGACCATGGGAGTGTGTCATACATGAACATCATGGAGTCACAATGAAAAACTAGTTTTAAGATTCATTGGACGGGGAAAAACCATGATCGCCAACAGAGGAAAAAAGAGAAGTTTAGCCCATACATCATGCCTCTGCGATCTTTGCCAGCTTGAAAAGTTTAACAGCTGGGGTGAGGAGCCCAAGACAACTGGGTTTGGCAATTCCAGCAGGAGAGCTGAATGACAAAAGCAAAGGAAATGGACAACAGGAAGGCATCTGGCATTCTGGTGTGGGACGATCATATTTCTCATCTCTACCCTTTGGGAGAATATGTCACCATAGTAGAAATGCTTTTAATTCCTAGTGGGGGGAAAAGCGTGATCTTTCTTTTTGTATAATGGTATATCAAAACTCCTTTTTACTGAGGAACCATAACTATTTTTAGTAATAGTTTCCAAGTTTCAAAGGAAAATATTTATTGTATTTTAAAAGAGTAAGATTAAAGAACTCTATTATTGACTTCTTTAACACTGCACTGAATGTTTATTTGACCATGCTTGATATCACCTTTACAACTATAAAAGAGGACTGGAGATGGAAGCGGAGCGGGGACTCAGACCTAAGCAGCCCCAGTTTCCCTGGGTTTATGCCCGGACCTGTCCAGCTATGACACATGGTGGCCTGGTTCCCAGGAGCTGCTGAACTAGAGGGTGCCTGCTTCATACTTACCGGCCCCTGGGGGGACCTGAAGCTATGGTTCTCCCTAGCCCAGTTCTCCTAGCTCCTTTCTTTATTTTTGTCTAATCACCAGTCAATTTCTACCCCCCTACTCCAACTTCTCCCTCTACCTTGAGATTAGTTTCATTAGTACTGTGTGTTTTCTGGCAATACTCTAGTTCCAGCATCTGGTAATGTTCTGGTATCTGACAATGTAATATAATCCCTTTTCTGGCCTCTTGGAATACATTTATTCTATTTCTCCCACTGCTAAAGTATTTACCGTAAAGCATGTGATCAAAATTCATTCACAAAAATAGTTATGTAAGTTTACTTCCTGGATGAATGACTCCTTAAGAAATTAAGTATACTAAGCGATGGAATTTTCAGTCACTATGCCTGTCGAGGCTTGAACAGAAGTAACTCATATTTAAATTTCCCAAAAATTGCTTTTGATAAGAAAACATATGACACTACATTGTTCTTTTCCAGTTCCTCCTTTCTATCCTACCCATAGGTTCTCCCATCCAAACAGCATGACTCTACCACATTAAGCATCCTTAAAACAACTGTCATATCTTTTCACAGAGATAGTAACGATTCATGGCATCGCTCAACTCACACTATGGTTTAGCTCAGGAAGTCTGAACTCCTCTCCAAAATCTGGCCCTAAATCATCTATCTATTTTATTTCATACTGTTATCACCAAATGAATAATGACCTCTCTCAGCTCTTGGACCATTCCTTGCACATGCTTCTCTCACCTGGAACGCCCCACGTTGTCTTTCCGGAATTCTTCCCTTTCAAAGCCCAGATCCAGTTCTGTCACCTCCAGGACACCTCTATAAAGAGAAATTAACTGAGCTTAGTCAGAAGATATTGCCTCCAGCCTACTGTGTTGCTGTCATGAAAACCATTCGGCTGGGTGCGGTGGCTCAAGTCTGTAATCCCAGCACTCTGGGAGGCCGAGACGAGTGGACTGCCAGAATCCGGGGGTTCGAGACCAGCCCTGGCAACTTGGTGAGACCGTCTCTACAATAAATCAAAACTTAGCAGGGCGTGGTAGTGCACGCGTGTAGTTCCAGATACTTGGAAGACTAAGGCAAAAGGATCGCCAGAGCCCAGCAGGTCGAGGCTGCAGTGGCCGGGAGCATTCCACTGCACTCCAGCCTCAGCCACAGAGTGAGACTCAGACTCAAAATAAACAGAAAAGAAAATGTAAGAGCACAGAATAAGTCCTCAACAAATGGCGGCCGAATATGTAACTGTGTATATTTATGTAAAATAGAATGTTGTCCCTGGCTTATACCGGAATAGGCACAAGTGTTAGGGACAGACTGGTTCTATCGTGATTTGATTTCAGAATGTAATGAATCTCTTGGAATCTGATGCAGAATTTCGTGCTCATGTGTGCTGGGATATTCTGCGAAAACCCATCAGTTTGCATCCAGGTCTAAAATCAGTTCATAACCCGAAATACACCGGGGACCAGCCGGTAGGGAAGTTAAGGATTTTGATTTAGAGGCCGGGAGCTGGGGGTAAACTAGGGCGAGGCCTCAGGCCAAAGGAGGGGAAGTGGAGATGAACAGTGCGGGTCCCGGCCTGCTTCCCTTCTTCCCGGCCTGATGCCCCTCGGTGCCCTCGGGCCAGGGGCGGTCTCCACGCCTCCCGCCATTTACCTCCAGGAGCCGCGCTGGAAGCGGAAGCTCGCAGGCACTCGCCAGAGCGG